GGCATACGGTCAGGCTGTTGATCACACAGGCCCTGTCTGCTTTCCACACAAATCTGGTATCGATGTCAGTGCTGCTATTATGCATGCGACCCAATTGTCCGAGGCTGAGACCCAACGTCCATCATAGCGCCACGCTCTCGCCAGGACACGCAGTCCCAGCATCATCGATTTCCCATTACTGTGTCACTCTGGCAGCCTCTTTAAACACACCTTCTGTGATGTACGGCCTCACACTGCGTGGCATCCCAAATACATGGCTCAAAGGTGCAAAGAGGAGCAGAGAGTTAAAAAGGCTGCAGTGCCATCTAGTGGGATAATCTGGGAACTACAGGCTGTACTTATACAAATCTAACAGCACATGTAACTGGAAAAAACACATGACTTGATAGTTCTGTACACAAGGGATCATTGCATTTTAATAGAAAATAATTTACTCGTGAATTTGGGGTAGAAAATAGTTTCATATCGAGATTAACTGATCAACTTGCACTGCAACAAAAGGACATACATAAAACGTTATATTAAACAGCCAATCACCCGCATTCAATTCCTCCTGACTAAGGAATAGTGCAGGTGTTTCATCACTAAAATCAACCACACTGGGCTTTTAAAAGAGTTGATTATTGTGCTCACTGCGGGAGCTGTAAATCTGAATTATTTATTATATATAGATTATTTCAAAATCAACTGAATAAAATGAAAAAAGAATATAAAAAACTGACTACATGTAATTGCACATTTCATTAGGTTGGAGTTACAGCAGATCCTTAAGAGAGTGAATCATTTGTTAATTAAAACCAATTAGAATGATTAGGTTGATTGAGTCAATTGACTGATTATTCAGACATAAAAGTAATCTGCAACTTTTTCAATACCTGATTATTGTTTACGGAATTATTTTTTATTGAAAAATGGCGAACATTTGTTGTGAGGATTCTGTTTTTTGTCAATTGAAATGATAATGTTTTGATTTTGGATTGTTGGTTAGACACAACAAGACATTAAAGACGTCACGTTGGACTCTTCGATATTAGGAAACTCAAGTTATTAGTTGGAATTAATACAATAAAAAAAGTATAATTTTATTGTAAAAGTTATATTTAGTTATAAATCCTAAATTACATTGTGAACCCTACCTGTAGTCTAAGTGAAATTCAAAAACTAATTAAATATAAAACAACAAAAAGATACTATTTATTTTGTTTGGAATACTGATGCTATCTCAAAATATATTAGCAAACGTCATTTTTTTTATGTATCTTCATAGAAAGTTTGTAGACAGGTTAAGTATTTAAATGGCTCCCTTCCTCAATAGCATAATAATAAACACCAAATCCGTAATGTTAACTTCGTGGACATACTATGCTATGACTTTTTCCTATTTTTAAATTCATGATATTTTTAACCTACTATACTTTGTTTTTAGTAGAAATGTAATTTTGGTTAATATCCTTAAGTGGGATATATGCACATATATAGCTCTTATATTTACCTGGTCCTCTCTTGTCCCAGCCGCACACCATGGTTCCCATGCTGAGGCCCATGCCCTTGTACTGGTACACCATGTTGGCGAGCAGCTTGGAGGCGGCTGCCACAGAGATGCGCTCCTTGTTGCGGAGCTCGTAGATTCGGCACTGGCGGGCCAGCAGGCGCTCCCAGAAGCTACAGTCTGCGGCTCCTCCAGCCATGGTGCCCAGCAGGTAGGGGTTGATCTCGATCACCTTCTTCACCGTCTGCGAGGCGATGTAGGCGCCCGCTGTGGCCCTGGAGTCCACCGCCACGATGACGCCATGCTGGAACTGAGAGCAAACAGCAGGGGGAACACATTAATGAAGCACAGCACAGCAGGAGGGGAACACACACAGAGCAATCACTGATGGATCATTGCAGGAATGAGTCCTAAAACCCAGAAATAAGTTAGCGTTTGATTCTGATTCCCTTGTGGTTACGTTTAGAAAAAATGTGGGATGTTTTTTTGGTTGGATGCCTGAAATAAAGGTTTAAAATTGTTACACAACATAAAATACGTCAATAAATGCCCCACTCCTGAAGCTTCCATGTGTCATGAAAATGGTGGTTGCTATCTAGTGACTAAATGAGACTACTTAACATCATCACACCAAACACTAGTCCACCTTTAACTGAGCGGTGGAGACATGAAATCCTGCAACTATGATAGAGTACATTTAAAGCCTAACGTTAGCTTTCAGGCTATTTCATTGGAGGTGAGGATTATCCTGCTGAACAAAACGTGTAAGTATCATGAATGTGCACCACTCTATTAGCTTATTCCAGACAAAGCAGAGATGTGATGCTGTTGTCAGAGATACAATATAAGGCTCTGCCAGAAAGTCACTGAATAAGATGGAAGACCTTTGCTCTCCCCTCTAAAATCCTCTAGGACTGAAGTGACAGTCGCTGTATAGCACTGAAGTGAAGACAACAGATTTGGGAAATGTCTCCCGGGGAGGTTTTCATCTACTGGCACTCAGGGATTAAGGGATAAAGTTGGCGATATTTTATCTTTCCTTTTTATCAACAAATCCCCTGAAGAGACCAAAACCTACTGCAGGGAGTTGGTTCAGTATTTACAGTGCTCTGCTTGTGAGCCTGACGGAGTGGGAAAAGCTGGCTGCTTTCCGTGTAATAAAAGCATATAATCACACAAATGCAGTAGTATGGCTCTTTGTGTTGTGGTCTTTATACCTTTTGGCGACAATGGTTATTTGTGGGCATAAAAGCTGCAGCTCATATATTAACCTTTATCTTGTTAGTAGCATGAATTAATTATTGGTTCTGCCTTTTTCACAGGACTTTGTGATGATGTTACAAAATAATAGTTTCCAGCTATTCTTACAGTGGAAAGTAAACACATCTGGTATCACTTTAATTATCTTATAATAATATTCATTGCAATAGTGATTATTTTCTCAACATTTTTCATAAACCAAATATTGTTTACACTTGCATCTTGAAGTTGGACTATTTCAATAACATGCATTACTCCTCCACTTGAATGTATGCCTGGTTCTGAAATCATATGGATATCATCTGGTATGAATGATGGAAACTCAAAGTTGGGATACTGGTTGAAAAACTGCATTTACAGAATAGTACATTCAATTTACAAATAATAAAAGTGAGAAAATAATTGTGATAAAACATGTAGTATGCTTTTCTCTTTAATGCGATAAATGAATATGTTACTGTAAAAAGATGTAAAATACATATTACTAATAAATACGTTAATTACGTATATAAAATCGTGTACAGTTACATATCATGGAATATTAAGGTTGAAAACAAATGATTGACAGGTTGTTGTTTTTTTATTTCATGTTATTTCGCAATACACAAAGAAAGCACTTGTACTTTTAGAAGCAGACATGGTGAAAAAACGTTGATGACCAATTTAAGGTCATATTTATGTTAAGAAATCTTACTGTATTTATCTAGTTGAATCAGACAGAAGCCATGTGTGGATGCTGCACAAGGGCTACTGTAAACACTACTGTCATCTTGTTTCCCATTCATGCAGATGCAAATACAGCTAAATAGCTAGTCTTGTGAAACCTATAAAATAAATAACTGCCATGGCTACACACACAAATGATAAATCTATGTATAGCTACTTGCTTTTGGAGCAAGAAAAGTCACAGAAATCATCACAAAGCTAACGTCATGTGAACATCTGCAATGAGATAGCGGTTTGTAGCCGTGCTAGCATGCTAACCGTCGGAGATGTGTGTGAGATTAGTGTTACGTTAACGCTCAATCATGATGTTTACACTTTGAATGATGTAACAAATGCTTATTTTGACTACTATATGTTAGCGTTGTACGATACCAGCCAACTACAATTAGCAACTAATTAACTTACTTTAAATGCTAAGGTGGTGGTTCCATGCAGGAACTCTATTTTCCTCTCGACGCCATCCTCTTCCACGGCACACAGCGGGTTTCTGACGGAGAAACTCAGACCGTCTCCCGGCGTAGCGTCAAATCCAAGACCGCTCTGTCCGGGTGCACAACCGAAACTATCAGGTTCACAATTATCAAAAGAAAATTTCGCACAATCACTGCTCAACACACTTGCGAGAGCCATCTTTGAAACTGTGTGATGAACCAGCAACTTCCGCCGGGTAACATTTATTAAGTCATGCTGAGGAAATAACACAGCGCCCCCTGTATGTGTGGCGGGCTGTACCGATGTAGCCTACAGGTGACATAAAGATAATTAACTCAAACAACACACACATTAACAAAAAGTAACATTTCAAGGTTAAGCAATTTTATAATAGCAACTATGCTTGATTATATGAGTTAGGAACTAAATATATAGGTCAGAAAAGTAGATTAATTCCAGAAAAGGTGGCTGAAAACACCATTTCTATACACTTTAGCCTTGGGCTGTGCAAAATATCGATATTATATCAATATCCTGATATGAGACTGAATATGTTGTTGCATAAGCATAGATTGTAATTTTGAAGGCTGCTTCAAAGTAAAGTGAGGTAATTTTCAAAAATTACCAGACATGTAGCTTTCATATTATTTGACTTTAACCCATGATTTTACCATTTAGTCAAAAAAACACATAGGCCTATAACCGATGATATTTTATCTAAATGTCAATATCAATGTGCAAATATTGTGTGAAAGCGTCAATGGTCATGTCTACAATATCGTCACAATACCAATATCGAGGTAAGCTGTTCGGTCAAAAATGGTATTATGATATTGTTCTGAAATGTTGTGATATTGGATGTACGTATACAACCCAGCCCTGCTTTAGCCCTCCTGAACACCCCATTGTTTTTGCTTCATCCCATACACTATCACAATAGGGATGTCAAGGTAAGCTATTTGATCAAAAATATTGTGATATTGTTGGGTAATGTTGTGATATTGTCCTGAAATGTTGTGAAATTAGATTTTCTCATATAACCCAGCCCTACATTAGCCTCCCATGACACCCCCCCACCCCCCCATTTTTTTCTTCATCCCAAAGCATCCAATACAGTCTCTCTTTTTCTTTCCCCCACTGTCTTCGTTCTCCTCTCCATGTCTCTATAATATTCCTCTTTCAGCTCCTCTCTCTTTCTTCGGCTCCATCCCTGGGCTGTGATGTGGAACAGGTCCACGTTGTTTCCTGAGTAGGCGTCCCTGTGAGTGGCTCTGAACACTGCTTCTCTTGCCAAGGAGACAGCCTCTTCTTTGCTCAGGTTCCACCTCAGCCTTCCATCCAGGACTCCATAAGCGTAGGGAGAGCCTGAGCCCACAGAAAAAACGTCCCCCTGCAGTCGGGCACCATCGCTGCACACATAAATCAGCTTTGGGCCCCTGTTAGGGGATGAAGGATACGCCATTGCAGAAACATCTTGGCTACTAAAACCAGCAGAGGAGCTATTGTCAGTAATAAAGGATGAGTCAGTGTTGCCTGCTTCTTTATCCCAGCCACACAGTGTAAGAGCCACACACACATCAGTCCCTTTAAAGGGGTGAAGCATGAATGAGAGGAGCTTGGCAGTGCCACATATTGAAAGGCAACGCCTGTGCCGGAGTTCGTAGAGTCTGATCTCTCTGGCCAGTATTCGCTCCCACAGCATGCAGTCTGCACCGCTCCCAGAGGAGGTGACCACTAAATGGGAGTGAATAGGGGTAATTTTGTGAACAGCTGGACAGGCAACCAATCCCCCGGCACTGGCACGTGTGTCTGCAGCTGCGATGACCCCACCTTGGAAGATGAAACCCAAGGTTGTTGTTCCATGAGACAGAGGGAAAGGCCTGCGGACCGTCACTGAATGTTTGGATGGTGAAAAAGGGGATGTAGATCTGTGGTTGAAAGGGGCAGAGTTTGGCAAAGATGGTAAAAAGAATTGCAGCGGGATCCCACTGTCTCTCCCAGATTTCTTCAGTCCCCTCAATTCTGCGCTGTAACAGTCGAAAGAGGTGGCTGTGTCCTCAAAATGAGAGGCAGGAAAGCACTTGCGATGCAAAGGAGTGTCACAGATATCTTCCAATGCCATAACTTAAAAATTAGGAAAATACAGATAGATTTCTTGATAAGTTAATCAAATTGTCTTTCCCAGAGACAGGCGGCCAAAATGATTATTTACAACAAGATTAAAGCAGAGTCCATCTATAAAAAACTGGTCAAACAAGATCAGAAACCTTTTTTTGTTGTAATGTATCCCACCTAGACTCACTCTCATCTAACGCAAAGTCTGAAAGACCTTGGTTTTCCCCTTTTTATAGACCTCCCAAATATGACACCTTGCTCAAAAACACGTTAGGCCTATCTTCAAAACCATTGGAGTTGACATAAGTGATATTTTATCCCACCATGCTGTGAAAGTAATATCCAGGGAAGCCTTTTTCTGCACACCTATGTTTTGCAGAATAACAGTCATCTTGTTAGTTGTGTGTGCAAGTTCGAACATATCTCTTTCATCATTTTCAGTTTGCCGTTAAAAAAAGGCACCAACCACCAGCATCAGCAAAATCTTCTGAAAAAGCCTGCTTTTTATACTGCGACCTGTGGAGTCTAAAATATTGCCCTATACTCGAGCTGCTTTGCCTGAGGGCCACTTTTCCAGGGGCCGATTAATAAACAAACATTTAGTCTATTTTGATGCTTTTTGAAAATATATTTCCTATAGGCCTACTGAAGCAATTTATGAAATTGAATATCCTCTCGCTACAAATACAACGTTTGTTATTTAGAGGATAGGCCTATGCCTAATTCAGCTTATAATATCAATCTGACAAAATGTTGTATTATTACTAAATGTGACAGTTACTATATTTAACTGTATTAGAAAACGAAATACGAGCAGGATATTTCTTTAGAAAGACAATTAATAAATGGACACAGGCTTTGACATGAAAACAGCAACAGTTAAGTTCAAGGTTCATAAACTATAGAGCAGTTATCGCGATCTTTTACGAGAAATGTAACTGTCCTACGTGCACAGCCATTTTGGGTCTACATCCATCTTGCTACCCAATGAGTATTTACGTCTGTGCAGATCCAAGATGGCGTCAGTTTCCTCGTAAGATAGAGCAACTAGGGGGCCCCAGCAGAATCCTTTCACTCTGCGAAAACCATGGCGTGTGGCAGTACCGGGAGCAGGGTGTCCTGCGGGAGAGATTTGAATTGTGTGCCGGAGGTAGCTGACACCTTAGCTGCGGTTGCCAAACTAGGGTAAGGACAATGCTGCAAATCATTTTTAAGTGCAAGTTAGCTTTAGTGGAGTGACCTGTGGTCTGCTGGCACTTTGCCGTGCACGGGTTTGCTAGCATCATGCCTGTGCGTGATGCTTGCTAAGCTAGCCGGTGAATTACCAACACGTGCCCAATCACAATGATGCTTCCTATTGTTGGGAAGTGTTTCTAATATTCATATAGGCCTGCCTGATAGTATTTTGTGAGCTGGCTGGAGGATATGTGACTAAACTGTTTAGCATGTCACCTCTACTTGTAGTTATAAAGCATACCGATGTTAAAACGCTGTTCTTTCTTTGCTGCGCAGGTTTGACTTCCTGTGCATGCCCCTGTTCCACTCGAGGTTCAAGAGAGAGTTTGAGTTGGAGCCCGCTAAAACCCGATCCGGTGCCCATACCCGGTCTGACCTGCTGCTGTGTGGCAGAGGTTAGTGCTTCTAACTTCTCATTTTCTATAACGCCATGCGTGATTAGTCATGTACCTATTCTACACGCTTTACAAATAACATAAATACTGTACACCACTGTATGCTGTGCGAGGCCCATGATGGATTGCGATTTTTTTGGAAAATAAGAACACAAAGCTGGGTGTTTCAAACAAACACGCCTCCTAAAGTCATAGATAGTCTTTAAAACAATAGTGTGAAAACGTATATTACAACAAAGAGACAAAAGCCTATAGTGCTACTGCAAATACTTTCACATTGTATGGGAAGTGAAAACCAATGGAGGTTTTTGAGCTTTCTTTGTCTAAATACATGTTGCAGACCCTTAAGGTTTCTTGAATGAAAAGAAGAAAAACTTTCCCACTCAAAAAATCATAACTTGAAAATGTATTTGGAATAGATGTATAATATTTTAAAAAGTCAACAAATGTATTTCGTCTATTAAATCCATGACATGACCTGGGAGATCTTGGTTTTTCTCCATGCAATGTCAGAGCTAGACATTATAATTATTTTTACCCTAATTATCTTAATATAATTGTTCATAAAGCAGACCAAGTATTTAGTATTGAAGACAATCACGGTAGATCACAGTTGTATGAAATAAAATAAGCCAAGATGCAATAATTATGTATTAAAAAGTAACATTAGTACATTTTTCATCTGTTACTTTGCTTATATATATTTTATTTAATAATGTTATTATTGAGATATTGTTTGAGTCAAGTGATTCATAAGAAACTAATCAGTTTTCAGTTGATGCTATGTTAAACTTTCCATTTTGCTTTATCTAGATTGGAATACTCTTATTGTTGGAAAGCTCTCTCAATGGATCGATCCAGATGCAGAAGTCGAGGCCGAGCGCAGAAACTCAGAAGCGGTAAGTTCCTTATCTTGGTCCATTTCTGTAATGTATACGTGGATTTTTATTAGGGCTGCATGATTTTGAAAGAAATAACTGATTGGGAATGTTCTGACTATTATTGCAATTGCAGTAAATACTACAGCACCACAACACTTTATACAGAATCATATTTGCACATATTCTGGCAAAATATTGCCCGTAGAAATATTGAGACTGCGATAACATTTCGAATGGCAGCCATAAGGTTGATAGTTAAAAAGGATTAACCTCAAGCTTGATATATATCCTTTATTTAACCAGGTAAAAGACTCATTGAGATTAAAATCACTTTTCCAAGAGTGACCTGGCCAAGAAGGGCAGTATGAACAAAGTTACAACAAGATTTTCTATTAGTGAACTTATCTTGTCCAGTCTCTCCTCTCAACCCCGTTTTGCTCTTGTCATGAAATGTCTTTTAGCTTTGTTTTATCCAAAGCAACTTGCATACAATTCAAAGTATTTTGCATATTGACAGTCAATGTCCATTTCCCCCCTGAGCCACAAATGCCCCGTCATGCTCTCATCCCATTTCCCCCCTGTGTTTCTCTCAGGCTCTGACACAGGAGTTAAACTTCTCCGCCTACCTGGGTCTGCCTGTCTTCATGCTCCACCTGAAGGGCCCTCACTGTGCCAATCTAGCCCGCCTGCTGCTAAACCACATCCACACTGGACACCACACCTCAAATGTAAGGCAGCATTAAACATCTCAACACCCACATTTAGATTTCTTAAAAGCTAAATTCATCTTCTAACTGTTGTACTCCTCTGATGTAGTTCTGGATACGTGTCCCGCTGATGGCGCCAGAGGACACGCGGGAGGACGTGATTGAGAACGAACCGGGCCCTTGCGTCGATGACACGCGTGTCGACGAGAAGACCTGGGGCTGGTGAGTTTCACACTCACTCTCTCAGCATCTGTCTGCATGCTCAAATAGCCGCTATTGATTTCCTTTTTGAAATCGTGACTCATTTTGTTTACTCGCCTCTGCTCCCTTTAGGTGGCACTCATTTAGAACCCTTTGTGATTATAACAAGAGGATCTGTCTCGGTAAGAGCGCACAATGTGAAGCACCAGCTTGGGGCAAAGTCAGTGCATTAAGAAATAATTATGATCGTGTCTGCTACTGAAATCTACTCCCCTCTTTTTTTTGGTATTCCTGAAGCTATTGAAGTCGGAGCAGACATGCCGTCAGAAGCTGTGATCGATAAGTGGCTCGGGGAACCAATCAAAGCGGCCATTCTCCCCACCAGCATCTTCCTAACCAATAAGAAGGGCTTCCCTGTTCTGTCGAAAGCCCATCAGCAGATAATCTTCAGTCTTTTCAAGGTATAACACCACCGATTCAAGTGGAATTAATCACAAGACAAATTGGGAAGTGTTATAATAAAACAAAATCTATTTTTTTCTTAGTTGGAGGCCCAGTTCGTGTTCACCGGCACCAGCCGCCACACTGAGAAGGACTTCCGCTCCTACCTGCAGTACCTGGAATACCTCAACCAGAACCGTCCTGCCCCTAATTCATATGAGCTCTTTGCCAAAGGCTATGAAGACTACCTGCAGTCCCCCCTCCAGGTAAGGAAGTGCTCATCTCATTGAAAAAGGGTTATTTTTTTAACCCTTGATGATATACACTAACAGTATTTGTTTCTCTCTGTAGCCACTCATGGACAACCTGGAGTCTCAGACATATGAGGTGTTTGAGAAGGATCCTATTAAATACTCTCAGTACCAACAGGTAGGACCTTAAAGTCAGCCATTCAAATCACACACACTCTACTTTGTATATGTAATTTGGCAACATAATCTACACTCTTGGTTTGTAAAAACTCATTTTAGGTAGCAGGCTTATTGTGTAGCATTGGATTGATAACATACTTAAGAAACAGTCTAGATGGTAGCACAGTTATAATAGTTAATTTAACCATTCTTAAACTAATTGAATGTCCTATCCAGTCAATGTTTGCATTTGTAAGTGAAGGAAGAGCTTGTATGACAATATTTCTCTTGTGTAGAATTCTCACACCACTGACATTTCTTTGTTTGTGTGACATTATGCTCAGACGAGACTCACAACATGTGTTTTTTTCCTTGTGTCTACAGGCTGTATATAAGTGTCTGCTTGACAGAGTTCCAGAGGAGCAGAAAGACACAAACGTTCAGTGAGTATCTGTACCAAAACAAACAATTACAATATAGTGATTTGATTGTCAAATTGCTGCTATTGTTACATTTGCAACCAATAGGCTCTCCCACTGAAAAATAATTGGGCTTTAAATGAGTCTAAAAATGTTCAAATTGGTTTGAAAGAAAGCCAAACACTGGACAGAATTGACATACAGAATTTGACCACTAAGTGTCACGCTTGGTTTAGCAGTCAGCATGAATTTTTCCCCCTGTTGCCTTGTCTGTTTTCTTGGAATGTTCCATGATGGTGGCAAGCACGGACACAGCT